AAAAAATTTTATTTACTGTGATATTTTTGTCCACCTTTTTGTCACAAAAGGCTGCTAAGGAAGAGAGAATATAGCTTTCTAGAGAGTGAAAGAGTGTAGTGTAAAAATGGAGACCACGGTTTCTGAAATTCAAGTAGAAAGCAAGGATGAGAAGAGATCAGCAGAAGTTAGTCTTCAGGATGAGAGGCAGGAGGAAAAAGCATCCATGCTTTGCTTCAAGAGAAGAAAGAAAGCCGTCAAAGCACTGAAGCCCAAAGCTGGCTCTGAAGCTGCTGATGTGGCAAGGAAGTGTCCCCCAGAAGCAGGAGCTTCTGATCAGCCACAGCCCCCAGGAGGGGCCTGGGCCTCAATCAGACGTCTTGTAACAGGCAGGAAAAGGTCAGATTCTTCAAAGCAGCAAAAGGCACTTGAAGCTGAAGTACAAAGTGAAATAAATGCTGAGGACGTGGATCTTTCTAAGAAAAAGGCAAAATCCAGACTTAAGATTCCCTGCATAAAATTTTCAAGAGGGGCTAAAAAGGGTTATCATTCCAAAATTACAGAAGACTCAGACTGCAGCATCAAAGTCCAGGGAGAGGCTGAAAGTTTGGATAGACAAGCTCAGACCCAATCAAATGATCAGGCGACAAAGGCTAAGTGGGCCCAGGATCTAACTGAAGGCATCTCACAGAAAGATGGTGATGAGGTCTGTGAATCAAATGCGAACAACAGCCTAACTTCTGGAGAGAATGTGATTCCAGTAGAACTTGGACTAGATAATGGGCATTCTGCTATTCAAACAGGAATTCTAATCCTTGAAAAAGAATCTGAAACAATTGAGGTAAAACAAGATGTTCAACCTCAGCAAGCAAGCCCACTTAAAATTTCAGATACAGACCATGAGCAACCAGTGATTTCTGATGTTTCTCCTTCACCTGCAATCCCAGATCAACAAACTGTGGAAGAAGCCAGTAACAGTATCCTAGAACATGGACCAAATTGGAAAGACTATGAAAGTAGAGAGATTGTAGCTGAATCGAATAAGCTGAAAGAAACTGAACTGAGCCAGGAACCAGATGTTAAAGAAAATGGGATCAATACAGAGAAACCCAAATTGGAAGAAAGCAAAAAAATGGAGCCAATTGCCATTATTATTACAGACACTGAAATCAGTGAATTTGATGTTAAGAAATCTAAAAATGTCCCTAAGCAATTCTTAATTTCAATTGAAAATGAGCAAGTAGGGTTTTTTTCTAATGACAGTGGTTTTGAGGGTAGAACTTCAGAACAATATGAAACACTCTTAATAGAAACAGCTTCTTCTCTCGTGAAGAATGCTATCCAGTTGTCTATAGAACAGCTGGTTAATGAAATGGTCTCCGATGATAATAAAATAAACAATCTTCTACAGTGAATTAATTTATAGATCATTGGAGGAAAATAAAACTTGATGAGTTATTTTACTCATTTGTGGCATTTCTTATTCAGTAAC